GTGTGTCAGAAGTTAGTGACGCTTAGGGAAACCTGCAGGCCCAGGAACCCGGAGTTAAGAGGTGCTAATGTTTGTAAGAGCTCTTTATCTACAGGCACTCCTAGCCTGAAGTCACACAACCCACCAGCCTGCCAAGGGGTCCAAGATGCATGTCCCTACACCTCTTTAGGACTTGACAGAGCAGCTGGCCTAGGTGGCCCCCGCCCCAGATTATTGCTGGAAAGGGGGTGGGAGGGGAGGAATTAGCAGGCAATTTCCAGCAGGAGATCCCATTGGAACTCAGAGTCAAGGTGTTTTGTGACTCTTTCCTCAGGTATCCTGCAGACCATCTGCCAAAAATATGCAAGTTTGAGTCTAGTCCCTCAAAGACAGAGGAGTCCCTCTAGAAGCATCTGCAGCAGAAAAGGGCCTTCCTACTTTGCAGACATAAGGGGACGCCATTGTTTTTGTTTTTGTTTTTTTGTAAACAGTCTCTGAACAACAGGTGCTGTGCATTTCCCAGCAAAATGGACAGAAATTTTAAACCAAGAGGAAACTGGCCCCAGCACTGCCTCAAAGAATCACGTCCTCCCGCTGCCACCACCTAAATCAGCCTTTTTCCAAGAGCCAGGCAGCACGCCCGCACCACCAGCCGCAGTGGCAGGCTCCTTTCGTTTACACATCCAAATGAACAGTTAAGAGAAATCAATGCATCTAATTGCCAGACTATTAAATCCTACATCAGGGGAAGAATTCCACAGCCACCAGCTTAAGAGTTGGCTACCGATATAGCAATTATTGCAACTTTCTATTAGATTGAACCAGATCCCCAGCCTTTCGTCTCCAGCTACGAACGCTGTTCTCAAAGATGCTATACTCCGGTGCTCCTCCCCTGCCAGCCCCCCTCGTCTTCTGTTAACTCACGCTTCTCGGGAGCATGCCACAACAGTGCCAGGCAGGCTGGCACTACTGAATTACACTAGGTCTGTGAAGTCACCGGTATTTGCACACTAGACACCTTACAGTTAAAGGTTTGGCAGGATCCTCCCACCAGAGGCACACAGTTACCTTATTTTATTGCTTATTAAGTTTTTGCAAAGAAATAAGTGTAAGAATCTAAACAGCAATTACTAGATAGAGGATGTTTCCAGAGTGAGACAGGCCCTCCCAAAGCTGGGAATCAGTGTCTTCATTGAGGAAGGGGGGATTAAATATTAGGGTGAAATGTCTGCTGCCCCAGTCCACACAGAAAGCTAAAGAACCTAGAAAGGATTTGTCTTGCCCTTCCTACAAGATCATGTACATTTAGCCAAACAAATCTCGACAATTTACACTTGTATGTGGTCTCAGCTGAATCAAGAAACCTGTAACCTCAGAACGCCTCTATTTATTACATCTCAATTATTTCCATGGAAACACAAGCAGTAGCGAACTACACTGTTCCCAAGTCCCCAGACCACCAAATTTATAAGATGGACTTCCGAGGAGCTGCGGGCTGGCAGGAGAGGAAGACAGAAAGGGAGGGGAACGCAGAGAAGTCACGGGGACAGTCTTGGATGTTGGGGTTGAGGGGGTGTGTGGACACAGTCTGAGTGTTAATTAAAATTAAGACCTGCTAAGCACAGACCATTGCTCGATGGAGGAAACTGACAGTATTAGATATTACTCAAAAGTTTTAAGTTGCGGCTGGGAAAGAGATGTGTTAATTTTCTGTCTAAATGAATGAGGAGGCAGTGTGGGTGCGGGGAAGGCTACCAACCACCTGATATCATCAACCGAAATAACATCAGTGAGACCTGATGAGAACAGCCTCGGAGAAGGAGGTCAAAATTGTCAAAGGGAACAAATCATCACAACGGCCACCCCACACTACCAGGAAACAAAAAAGGGGAGAATGGTGTAGCGAGAGAAAATCAGTCAGGACATGTGACTTTTGTAACATGCATGGTTTTTCGGTTTTCCTTTAAATCACAACGCTTTTAAAAACCAATAAGGCTATTCTACCCCCCTGCCCTACTGTCTGGACCCCTTTCCCTTTTGGCTGGGTGTCCTCCCAGGGAGCTGCATTTTCCAAAGAAGGACAAACATCCCCAGGGGACAAGTGACCCACTCCAGAAGGGAGGTTGTGTCCGTGAGATTCCCCCCCTCACCCCCACTGGAGGCCTGTTTGATTTTCAAAGCAGCAATGCCTGTGCTTTCAAATCACACTTTCTGAGCATCCATTAGAAATTGTTATATTTCTGTCTTTCCTTCCTGCTATGGGCTTTCACATTTCCGAGATCAATTACGAATTACAGTCAAGCGACTTTCACAGCAGACTGCGCGGGCTGGGGAAGTCCACGATGCGTCTAGATGGCCCTGACACACAGCAGTGGAGGCAGAATAAAATAAAATAAAATGTAAAAGGCGCCACTGCTCCTTAAGAAGCACCTTCAAGCATCTTTAAAGGTGAAGACCTTGTCGTTTTAAACACTTGGTGTGGAGCTGTCCACAATCAAGCACACACTTTTTAATATTGCTTGAGCAAGGGGGGGAGGCAGTTCTTGAAAAGCAATAAATCCATCACCTGCTGTAACTCTTATCTATTCAAATTATCTTCCCTCTTAATTCCTCCCTTGATAAGTGGCCACATCTCCACCCTATTCACCCCAGTAAACTGAATAAAAGGCAAAATGATGAGAGACAAGGGTTGTAGCTGCTTTTGAAAAATGCAAAGAACCACAGGGAGAAACAGAGGCTCTCTGAGTCCAAGGGCAGAAAGGCACTGTATGGCTGATATTTACAACACTTCTCAAAATGCCTATACGGGTCCGGTTCCCACTTTGCTGTCTTTCCCCCATCAATTAGCTTGAACTGTCTGCCGTACATAGACACATACACATTTGGAGAGAGACACTCATTAAAAATCATTTCAAGGCTCATTTCATGAAAAGCGAAAGACCAATTCTTGAGTCTTTCTCAGAGATACACAGAGTGGTTTTAGAATTAGGTTTCAGCAACTCTGCAACACCCACCCATCTGTTCACCGCAAGTCGTTTACCTTTGCTTTTTGTGTCTTGCCTTCAAAGAGAAGGAGGTTTGGAGGTTCGCACTGAGGTTAGGGGTAAGCACTGCATCTTCTTTTATGAAAAATCTGCCCCCATTTAACTCAAAATCAACTGCCCAAATTCAATAAAACTATTTCTCCAACCAGAAATTCAGATTCTACATTTTCTTCTGGGCCACCTTGGGTGGTTCTTAAGGGAGTGAGCAGTGAGCCAGAAAAAGAGAAAAGAAATCAAACATTATTTCAAGACGCAGAGCTCTTCTATTCTGCAGAAGGACAACATCGACCATTTGCGTGTCCCCTTCCTAGGGTGCTTCTTCTGGTCTCCTTTGTCCCTCAGGCAGAACGTCCACTGGACCCCCAGTTCCGTGAAGCAGGCCAGCCTGTCCCAGATTGGGATGTCTGCCAGGGTGAGGACAAGACCAACTTCTCTCAAGGAAAGAGGCCAGGAGTAGCCAGGTTGCTGAGTTTGGACTGAGTTGGCCTGCTTCTAGGAAGACAGCGAGTGTCTCTGCCGAGTTGGGTGCCCTGGGACTCTCCCGGGACTTTGGGAGGCGAGCAATGGTGGGTGGTGTCTCACGACCCTCCTCGCCTGACTCAGTCCCAGCCAGGAGCAAGGCTGGCAGGAAGGGAGCGGGGGGCCTCAGAGCCTTCCCGCGCAGGCCTCCAGGAAATGAACTTTTTAGAGCAGCACTGGGCTAGGGCCAGAGGTCATCAGGGGAGTTAGCTGGGAGAGGACTAGGGCCTCGGGACTTCTGGCTCCAGAGAGTAGCCACTCTCATCCTGTCCCTGCTCTATCCACCTCCTAGCGCGGCCGGCAGCCAGGCTCCCACCCCGGGGGCTGGAATGGGGACAAAGCAGCAGGCGAGGCCTGGAGAGGCCAGTCGGTGGGGAGAAAGGGGCAGGGGAGGGGCGCAGGCTCAAGGCCTCTCCCGGGGGCCTCAGCTCTCCAGGGCCCACTCCAGCCGGGGGCCCTGGGAAAGCCAGGGGGCCAAGCAAGGGGCGCGTGAGTGTGGACCTGAGTGTGAGCGTGTGTGCGCGCGCGTGTGCGTCTCCTCACAAACGTGTGCACCCCGGCGCCCGCACGCCCGGGACCCTCGATCTTGTTTGCGAGCGAGCCAGGCGCCGGCGTGCGCGCGGGGGTCTCCTCACAGGCGTGTGCGCTCCGGGGCCTCGGCCCAGGACGCCGGCCCGGGGGGTCCCGGGGGACCCGGGGGGTGCCCGGGCGCCGGCGCCCGGGGTCGGGTCCGGGGCGTCCTCCGCGCCAGAGCGAGCGCGGCGGCCGCGCGCCCCTGGGGACCCGCGCCCCGCGGCCCGGCGCAGACAATGAACTCCCGGCGAGGCTCCCGGCCGGGCGGCCTCTGAGGCGGCGGCAGGAAGTGCGGGGGCCCGGCCGGGAGCGCGGCCTGGGCCGGGGGCAGGCAGGGGGCGCCAGCCGCGACCGCCGCCCTGGGCGTCCCGGGGCGCGCGGGCGGCCGCTGAGGCGAGGCAGGGAGGCGGCGGGGCGGGGAGGCCCGGGGCCCTGCGCGCGCGGCCTGGGCGCCGCGACCTCCCGGGCGCCGGTCCTCGCCGCCTCTTCCTTCCTCCCGCCGCCGCCGCGGAGATTCGCAATCCCCGCCAAGCCGGGCCCGCACCCCTTGATTGGCCGCGCGGGCCCGGGGCCCGCCAGGCGGCGGCGGCGCGGGCCCCTCGGCGGCGCCCTCGGGCCCGGGTCCCCGCGGGCGGCGGCGCCGGGCCCGGGCGGGTCGGGGCAGGGTGTCCGCGGCGCGCCCCGCGGCCGCCTCCGCCTCCAGCCCGGCCGCCTCCTCCCCGCCTCCGCCTCCTCCCCGCCTCCGCCTCCTCCTCCCGGCTCCGCGCGCGGGTCCCCGGCCGCCCGCCCGCCCGCCCGCCCGCGCGCGCGTCCCTCCTCCCTGGCTCGCTCCCTCCCTCCTCGCCGCTCGCTCGCTCGCGCCGCCGCCGGGCCTCGCCCGCTCACCTTTCACCGAGCGCGGCTTCGCCTGCTTCCGCCTGGACATGTCCGGGGCTCCCGGCGCTCCGTCGCCCTCCGCGGCCGGCTCCCCCCGCCGCCCCCGCCGCTCCGGGCCGCCCGGCTCCCCCTTCTCCTCCGCCTGCCTCTCGGAAACTTTTTTTTTTGCAGCCGGGTCGGCGGCTGCGGGGAGCGGAGCGCAGGTCGCGGGCGGCCGCCCTGGGGGGGGCGGCCCGGACCGGCCGAGGCCGCGCGGGGGCGGGGGGAGGCCCGGGGGGCGCGCCGGGGCCCTGCCTGTTGCAATGCGGCAGCCGGGGGCTCGCGGTCCCAGCGGCGGTCCCGGCGGCGCGGGGAGTCCGGAGGCCACTCGGCCGAGCCGAGTTATGCAAAAAAAAAAAAAAAAAAAAAGCCGCCCCCCTCCTCCTCCCCACCCCCCGCCGGCCCCCGGCCCCTGCGGCCCCCTCCCTCCCGCTCCCACCCCACCGCCACCCTCGCCCGCCTCCTCGTCTCCTCCTCCGCCCCTCGCCGGATTTTTGTGCAAAGTTTGCAGGCGTCCGGCCACGCAGCCCGGTGCGGAGCTCACAATGAGCCCATCTGAGGAGGGGGCCGGGGCTGGAGTCGGGGGTGCCTCGGGGGGGGGTGGGGGGAGACCGGGAGGCGGTCGGGAGCGCGGAAGCTCAGGACCCCCCGGGGGAAAAAAAAAAGCCTTCAAATTATCCCCCGCCGCACAAAAAAAATAATAAATATTAATGGCTAAAAAATTCCCAAACCCCTGATTTGAAGATTATGATGGATGGGGAGAGAGGTCCCTCAACTCGGCCGACTTGGGGGGCTCGGAACGGCCGCGGGGGCTCGGAAGCCGCAGCGCGGGGCCCCTGGCTCACGCCCCCTTCTCTGGCTCTCGGCTCGGTGCGGCGCCGGCCCCCCGGAGGAGGAAGGGGCGCGCGGGGGCGCTCAGGCGGCGGCGGGCAGGCGCGCCCGTGCCCGGGGCATCGCTCAGCCCGTGCGCCGGGCCGCCGCTGCCTGCCCTCGGGCCGCGGTGTGCAGCGCGCGGCGCGCAGCCGATCCCCAGGCCGGTGCCAAGTCGCCGGCCCCGCTAGCTGCCTCCATGGGCCAGGGGCGCGGAGAGGGGGCGGGCGGCCGCGGAGGACGAGCAGGCGGCGGCCGGGCTCCCGTCCTCCCGGGCAGCGGCGTCGGCGGCTGCGCCCCGGCTCCTCCGCGCTCCAGCCGGCGCCGGCCCGCCCGCCAGCCTCCCTTGCGCTCCTGTCTTCTTTGTGGTCGCTGGCTCTCCTCCTCCCGATCCGGCTGCTGGGGCTGCACTGCAGAGACACATAATAAAGCCAGGCTTGGCTGGAAATGTAGCCGGGTCCCAGCAGGAGGATGTGAGGAGCGGAGTCCCGGCGGGGGAGCGCTCTGATCCCGTGGGGCGCCCCGCACTGCTCCGGCTCGGATCAGACGGAGAGAGGGCCAACAGCACCGAGCGATGGACAGCGCTGGAAATACAGCTCCGGCCGCCCGCAAAACCCGGACCGCGGCGGCAACGGCAAACACGGCGCGGGCGCGGGCACCGCACCGACTCGCGGGGCCCCGACTCCGGCGCTGGCGGCACCGGGGGCGGGAGGAGGGAACAGACACTGGGCCTACGCGTGCAGCCGAGCTCGCCAAGACGCATTAGCATCACGAACTGCAGAAAGTGAGGGAAGGGGGGTGGGGGTGCCAAACGGGGTTGAGTTGCCCTAGCACGGCCACCTCTGCAAACGAGGTCCCTCACACGTGAATTATGCCCGCGCAGTGACTTTTCCCCCATCTCGATGTTTGCCCCCAGGTCGGTGTTCCAAGATCCTATCCTGCCCCACATCCTGCACCCGCTCTGCTGCCTGCACCTCGGCCTAACCCTTTGCCAGACACGCTCGTCTCTGTAGGGTTCCCGCTCCTGGTGGCGCACTTTTTTAGCTAAGACTTTAAAAGGAACACCTCGGGCCCCAAAGCACCGCCCTCCCCTAAAGAAACCGGCGCCTACTTTCCACAAAGTTTTGCCCCAGCCACCAGGGGGCGCCTCTCGGAGGCTGCTGCTCTTGAACCCGCTGGGGCTTTTTGGTCGCGGAGCCCCGCGGGGTAGGGGCTCACACTTTGGAAAAGTCTTTCCCAGGAGGCTCCCTGAAATCATTCCTTTGAAGCACCCCTCCCCCACCAGCTGCGGGAGGCCAGGTCCGGGGTGGGGGAGAGGCCCTGACATGGCCCCCCTCCCGAGCGCTTGGCGCCACCTTGGGCCGGCTGGCCCCAGAGCTGGGAGAGCGGAACGGGTGCGCAGCGCGGCGCTGGGGGTTATCAATCTCGCGGATCGATAAGTTGCCACTTGGAGAGAGGAGGGCTGTGTCCCCTCGGAGACTAGTTACCCAGGGCAACCTTTCACGGAAAAACCCGCTGCCCGCCGAGAGCCGCGCCGGGGCCCGCCGGGCAGCGGCGCCCGCCCCAAGCAGGGCGCCTGCTCCCCGCCGTTCCCTGGCCCGCGCCCCCCTCGACTCCTTTCGCGGTCCCAACCACCCCTGCTCGCCTCTCAGGGCCTCGGGGCTCCAAGCCCAGGCTGGGCTGATTGCAGAGGTAGATGCCACCCCCACACCCCCAGCGGCTAGGGAGGGCAGGCGTGCGCGCGTGCGTGTGCAAAGACCTAGGGCTGGGGGTAGAGTGGGGTCCAAGCTGGCACGCTCAAGGCCGACTGCGAGGTAGACCACAGCGACCTGCAAGATGCGACGCCGAGGCGGACGTCCTGACACCAGAAGACAGAAAGCGAGGATCCCCCAGAGGGGCCTGGACCAGAGCAGAGACGCACCCCAACTGGGACTCAAACCCCGAGGGCTTCCCCCTCCCCGGGTTAGGGCTGCCACCGCCCTCGCCACCTTGCTTCCGAGAATGTCCAAGATCTCAGCCTTCCCGGAGAAAGATGGGAGCCACCTCCCGCAGCTCAGGGATGGCCGGGGTTAGACCGACAGGGGTGCCAAGGGCCAAGGCGAGGGCAGAGGCCGTGAGGCGCCTGGGAAGGAGCCAGGAAGGAGGGGCCGAATCAGCAGCTCCCCCCTACACACCCCCACCGGCGCCTGGGATCGTGGCCCGCCGAGAGAGGCTGACAGGCGGCAGATGGCACACGCTGGGGGAGGGGGGCGATTGGCCTCGGCTCCGGGGTGCCCCCGCCGCGGGCTGCCTCTCCTAGGGGGAGGGGGGCGGAGAACAGCCCCTGGCTCGCCCGCCCCGGCTCTCTGGGGGGCCAGAGACTGAGGCTCATGCCCAGCCAGAAGCGGGGAGAGAAGAGGAGGGCGGACAAAAGGAGCGCGGTGGGGAAGGGGTGTGCTGGAGGAAAGGGGGGGTCATCGGGAGGGGTGGGATTGTTGGAGACCCCGTGGCGCTGCCCTTCTTCTACTCCCAGGGAACGGAGGAAAGCTCGGAAGACCAGACGTGAGGGCAGCAGAGTAGGGGGCGGCGACAGCCTAGGCTCAAGGGAACTAATCCGCTCGTACTGGGGGTCCTGGTGAAGCGCACGAAGTTTTGGGGGGGCCCCTTCCTGCGCGTCGCAGTCACGCCCAAGTCCGGACGCGCACCCCTCCCCCAGCAAGCCCCGGCTGCTGTCTCCAAGCCCGGTGGCAGCCAGGGTGCCGGGCGAGCTCGACCTCCTCTCTCCTCCACCCCTCCTCGCCCGGTGCTTTCTCTGAAGCTTGTTTCATTTTTAACTCCTTATAGAAAAGTGTTGTTTAAGGAAAATTCCAGAGCCGATAAAAGCCTGTAGGTCCTACCGAAAGAATCTCAGCGAGCGCTAAGTGCGGGCAGGGCTAGTGACCCCCGCTACCTGGGCTTCCCTTCCCACCAACCTGGCGACCTGGGAGCAGATAAAGGTATAAAAGGAGTACAAAAGCCATCAAACCCCACCTGCCTCTTTCTAGCTGAGGATCCAGGGGTGTGGGCCCCTCGCCTGTAAGAAAGACCCCCCTCTGGCCTCTTCATCTGCAAAGTAGACAGCTGCTCTTGCCCTACCCAGAGGAGTGGCTGGGAAACCCTTTGTAAACTTTAAGGAGCCACCATCACAAATGCAGGAGAAATTACAAGTCGATGTGTTGGAAAACAAGAAAGACTTTGTTCACAGAAATGGGCATCTCCCTTCCAAGACATCGCTTGGCATCTCCCACCAGAACCCCACCCCCTATTTCTGAAATTCTCCTTAATAAGGTATCCCCAGATACACAAGTGAGTTTCCAGAAGGAGGCAGGTATCATCCAGGGCAGCCTAGTGAACACAGGAAGCAAGGCAACAAAAACAAGGTCCGACAAAGTAAAATTAAGATACGTTTCTTTTTGTGGCGGCTGAACTAGTGTCCCTAAAGGGTCCAGGAGTTGTCCAAGACAGCATGGCTTTCACGAGGTCTTCCTTACCTGTTCGTAAATGCTGCCTGTCTGCCCGGGACAAGGCCACGAGGCCTGACAGCCATTATCAGGCCTTCACTTTCCTCCCTGCCTGTCCACCTTCACCACCTCTCAAGGTCAACCATGTTTCTAGAAAGATGCCAATCACACAACTGTAAATTCCCTTCTTGCACTGAGGAGTCCCTCCTTCCCCTGGTGTTCCCTCAAGACCCACAGACCTACCCCTGCTTTCTAAAAGTTTTCTAGCTGCTTTAGAGCTATTAAAGAAGGCTTTGTGCTAGGGTAGATTTGATTTTTTCTTTTTGCACTTTAGTTTAATTTTATTGACCCATCCATTTGTGGAATCAGAGATTCTCCAGCTACTACTGTCCTGGGAGGTAATGGCCTTGCCTCTAGTTGAATCTGTCAGGACAGTGCCTGGCACCGTGATTATTAATTGGTCATCACCCACCATGCAGGTCTTTGTCACTTCTACACCCATATTTGCAGCATTGAGGGTTCCTCTCACAGGGTTTGGTATGGAAGCTTCTGTGGGTGCAGTGAGGAATAAGCCAAGATACAGGAGAGAGTCCCTTTCTCTGTTGTTTGTTCTCTGCCTGTTGTTTTAGGGAGGGAGATCCCAGAAGATACTCCTGACATCCCCCAAAGGTTCCCAGTGGCCCCTATGACCAGGACTGAAAGAAGGGAGCATGGGGCCCAGACATCTGCCTCCCCGGGGCTGTGGGAGTACAGTGCCAAAAACAATAAGTCTGGTGTGGGAACCTCCTTGTCTTCTCCAGTTTCTGTTCAGCTGGGAAAGCCATTTCTATTTTATCATCGTTATTATAATCATTTAATTCTTCAAGCGTCAGCAGTCTTTGCAGGGAACACCCACAAGGCAGCAAAGAAACCAACTTGGCGAGAGGATCCCAAGGGACCCACATCTTCAGAAAACTGGAGACTCCTGGCCCTGGCTCCAGAGCCTCCCCGGGACCACC